TCGGGTAGTGTACTCCATCCTATACCTCCTTCATGACTTCTTTCCGCCAGTAATACCCCCACAGCTCTTCATTTGAGTACACACTAAGAGGAGCCATTATCCCGACATTATCTCCCTTCTCCAGCCAACGAAACGATGGCCATTTACTAGTGTGTAGCTGCACGGAAAAGTCTCAAAATCCACTGGGTGCGGGGCCTCTTATGACGAAGAGGTCGGCCAGCCGGGCGCAGCAGACCTGTGTATACCTAAGAGCGTCTTTCAACCTTCCTAGCCTCCTCCTTACACCTCCCCTGATTCATGCCGCAGGACAAATCGTAGGTCGTGAAAGGATATCAGAAAAGGCTTGGTTGAGAGTGATAGTCGTGAAGGAGCCTAGCTTAGCATCCAAAAATCGTTACGGACGTGGGCTCGTCGAGTAACTCATGTATTTCAGATGCCCTCCTGGCTAGTAGGTTCGGAAGTTAAGATGAGTAGGGACGATATTTCTGACGAGTCAAAATCTGCTTTTCTTGAGGGCGAAAGGGTCTTTTCCTTTGCTTTCGTGGGCTTTTTGTTCGCCCGCCGGTGGGTAGCAAATGTTGTAATATAACGATGACTTCTCTGACTACCTTTGTAGCGTTTGGTACCGCATTATCTCTCCTCCTTCCCAGCACCATTATCGTCGTCTTTGTCGTCTTATGTGTTATCGGAAGCGTATCTTTGACGGAGGGGGAGATAACTCAGCTCAAAGTTGATAAGGTGTTACTCAAGCTCGGCTCTGCCGACTCTGCAGACTCTACAGTGAGAGCTGGAAGTTCGTAGGGGACACCACTGACGGGTATTGAGAATAGTCCCCCTCCTAGTGGTAGTAATTAACAACTCTCCACGACAGATTTACAGACTCCTTTACTTTCGCACTCGCTTCACCAAGTGATATAATCTGTGCCTAATAGCCACAAGATTTTGCAAACCAATCCACTCAACATCATGCTCTATGAGTGCTAGGCTTGTGCCCGTCACGAATATGTTTCTATCAAGGTACAATGCCCGTGGTGCCGAGCGTTGTATCTTTATATTGGAGAAGATCAGATTTCTATCGAGTCAACTCAGAAGGGACTATAATGAATTCTTACCATACCGGTCGAAAGTCTGCCCGATCTGTGATGTTTGACATATTTCATGTTAGAGATTCGCTGTACATCGCTCGAGTTTGTTTGTGAGTTTATTGTGTTACTTTAGTCTATGGCTATCTGACACGTGGGGCTCCTCTCTCACCTAGGCTGCACCTTTCTCGGTGCTCCTATCTTCTTTTGTTACTTCAAAGATCATTGATATATTGCTCGTGATGAATAGCCATTCAGCTAGGTGTTTACCCATGTAATTCGGCCACTTTTTCCACGGAACCTTCTACTCAAAAAAAAAGGTAGCAATGGAAATTGCGTGAGCGAGAAAATGTCTCAAAAATGCCTTCAGCCTCAGCTAGGCGAGGCCTAGACACCGGGACCACATGAGGTGCGTGTATTCATCAATATCTCCCTTCTTTGTAACATTTGAGGCCAATTTGATCCAATCCGCCATCTCTGTATCGGGTGCTGGGTACGCTCTAGAAACTCATCGGATTGCTTTTCCCCCATGATCAAGGGTTGGTGATGAGTAGGGCTCCGACCCTACCATCTGATCTGATCGTGGTTAGCTCCATGATGATGGTGATAGGGGAATGCGTTGAGAGATGAAGACGATGTAGACAGCGAAAGCGATTAGGAATCCTGGTCGAAGCGAGGACTTTGTTAATCAATTTCGGCTCTGCAGACTCCACAGTGAGAACTGGAGGTTCGTAGGGGATACCACTGACAGGTGTTGAGAATAGTCCCCCTGCTAATTCCTCGTTCTCATAGGTTCTGGGTCTATAAAGAAATGCTGAAGCAGCCAAAAGTTTCGTCATACAAATGTCCTTTCGTAGTCTATTACTACGTAGAATAAGAATGTTCTCTCCGTAGTTCAGAAATATCCATGCCTCGAATAGTATTTCCTCTCTTCTCATTCCTTTACAACTTCAGACAGTACCATTGTCTATAGGCGTTAGGTGTGATTGTAGATTGTTAAATAGCCTGTTCTAGTTTCTTGATGCCAATTGCAGCCGTGAACAATCCAGATGAGCTGTTGACCATACAAGCCCTCTTAGCTAGTATCCAACTTAAGCTCAGCACTACAGAATCTACGATGAGGCTGAATTTTCGACGGGAGGAATCCATGTAAGTGTCCAGACTTCGTTTGGGAAGTTACCAAATTCCTGCTAATTAGATAAGCTTAGCAAATAGCTTTCTCAAGCCGGTAGACCAGATTTACTGGGTAGGTTCTGGGTATTCGAGCCACTGACCCCTTTTAAGAGGAGGATTTTGATTCAAATCAAGTACGAACCAACAACAATCGCTCGGCCCTTGGGCGGAGATAATATTGCAAGCATGCCTCTGTAGTCAAGGCTTTTGGAGCATATCTCTTTGCAGAGAGACACGATAGAAGAAAGTGAGCGTACTGAGGCCTGGCCAGGATCATGATATCAGTGAATACGATAGCCTTGTCAAACTGGCTATGGATGAGCCAGACACTATTCGTATCAAAGAGTTGGCGGAGTTGATTGTTGCCCATCTCCTGCCGGATAGAAGGCAAGGGGCTACAGGTCTTGAGTAGCCTGGCACGCATTGCGACCTCAGACTACGTCATGCGCATTCAGCTCTATGATGAAACGCAAATCCCCTGCATAGGGTTGTGAGCTGCGCATTTCGGGGCTGTTCACAGACTGGCGGGCGCGGCGATGCGACGGGGATGCTCGCCTTCGCACAATGTTTCAGGCAACCGAATCTGATTACATAAGGTGGCATGTTTAGAGCCCTGCTTAACTTCAAAGCATCGGATAAGGGGCCGCCTTTACCCCACATCAGTCAGACAGGGAAAAGGCGCGGTAGAAGAAATAACAGCCGCAGCATCAAAATTGCGACATAACATTGCAACGCAGATGCGGCCCAGCTTTAGAGGCACAGAAGCGTCGACTTCTTTCGGATCGGGGGGAGCTGTGGGTAGACCTGGTATCGAATCCTCGTCCTGACCTCTCCTGCCGATAATCTCCGCATGACCGGTCCCTCTCCCTCTCTTCGGTCGCCTGTAAACTAGCCCTAATTGTTGCTGAGGTCATTGGAACTGAGATTGTTCATCCCCTATTGTCATGGGGGTGACCCCTCATCAGCCTTGATTAGTCTTGACGTGCAAACCTGAATTGGCGCATTTTCTGCCGGCCTAGAGGTTGAGACATTCCGGGATCGATGATATTGGTGGCTGCATGCGGATGTGGAAGAACTGCTTTCATTAAAGGTCTTATGGCTCAATGGTACGGCACTCAAGTCCATCACCGGAATAGAGACCAGATAACCATCATAACAAACTGACTAATGACAGTAGGTCGCTATTTTTATCTCGGAATTACACTACGTTTCCCGCAATGCTCGTGAAAATTATCAACAATTAATGCTCGTGGACAAGTGTTTACTCTGATGGATGATAGGCCACCTTTGTTTGTGACACTTGCTAAAACTTATAGAGCATATGTGTCTGTTACATCACAGGAGTTATTTAATAAATTCGCAGTATACTGTGACTAGTTCATGGCTTGACCTCTGAATATATATATATATATATATATATATGGAATCATAAAAATATAGTTTCCAGGATATTCTGTGACTGGCAGTCGGGCGCATCCGAATATAGGACCTTTCGCCTACCTCGCGAGATGTTCACACGAAGTCAGCGTTGAAACTACTTATCTTGTTCACCTCACTAAACACTTTCAGAATCTCGCTGTCATCTTTTCTGGTCGTACAGCTGTCGTGAGTCTCATCCCTTGTTGGTCTAGACTGTAGTCACGGGGTAATGCTACAACAGGAATGATTCTTTCCAATAGCGGAGGCAGTAAGGTTTCTGTCCGGCTACGCCAACGATCACCGTCGAGCCTCAAAAACATTCTCACCTTAGTTCCAATCAATAAGCAAATAAAGCTCTCGGCCAGCAAAGGCAACCCCTATTACAGCACGACAACCATCTATCCAAGCGGAATTTGCTATCAGTTCCCCGGCGAACAAAGCCTGTTATTCAGCTTTGTGTGTGTTCGCTACTCCCGTGTGCCCGCGTAGATTGTAAAGGCTAGCAGACAGTTCCATGCCGTCACGGAAGACCTTAGTCATATCAATAGATGCGCAGGTAGTAATGTTCCCAGTCTGTTCTCAATCATTCGATGAATTGCTAGTCCAGCGTTCAGGGGTGATAACTTAATGCAGCCTGCTCATTAACAACATCTATCAAGCATACCACAGTCATTCTATGCTTCCGCCGGGAGACAAATGAGACCAATGCTGGGTTCAGAAGGGGGAAAAGGAAACATACAAGGCTCGTTGCGCCGACTGCCGGGAAATCAGAGGCGGAAAAGTGACGCAGCGTTGACCTTCCAGCGGATGATCGCCACTCGACGATCTCTCCGCTGACGCAGTGCGACGTCTCTTTGACGCCGCCGTCCGATGCATGCCTTGTTCAGGGAGGCTAATTTTTCATATTTACTGGCCTTGAACCCTTCGTTCCAGCATCTGCCATAACAAAGTTGGCGCTGGAAGCCCAACTCGCATCTCACTCCAAACTGCACTCACCCAGCTCAGATCGCGTCTTATTGCTCAATTGTCACCTGCCCTTTCCGGCTGAGGTTACTCGCCACGCCAGCATCTTTCGCCATAGTCCTTGCTCCATTTGCGTTTCCGCCCAAACCAGACATTCCCTCCAAAGCGGAAAGAGGACGCTATTTGACGGCAATCTACTCGCGCGCCCCTGTAGATTGGTATATTAAAGCTATCAATCGATCCAACTTCGTCACTTATCCAATCCCCATTAACGATTCTCTTACTACCTTGGTCCTCGAACCGAACAAACATTTTAACATTTTTATCGACTCAGACTCATCTCTTGACAACAATTGCTCCACCATGCATCTCTTCCGCACCCCCTCACTCGTCTCCATTATCTGCATTTTGTTGCAAAGCCCTATCATCACTAGCGCTACGCCTGTCTCATGTTCAGAGGTAGGAGAAGTCGAACCATTGTAGATTGTGGAGCTAACGCGCGATACTGAACAGAGGACTCGTGACTTGGTTCTGAGAGGGGACCTCGACCCTTCGGCATGCTGCTCTTACGGCATGTGTAAAGGAGACGTGAACGTCCGAGGTGGCTAACGTGACGCCCCGACCGCTGCTGCAGCAGCAAGCGCCAGCCCGCTTGAGCTACTGGTCACCACGTCTTCAAATCAGACTTGAATAGAAGTAACGTTTGAGAGTATGTCTCTATGACAGCATCTCCGCTCCACGCCGGCAGGCACGCGTGAACATCTGCGATAACCGAGATCGCATATCTCAATCATTCTAATGGTTTCCTGGGCTACAAAGTGGGAAAGAAACAACCTGAATTTGTACACTTGGTTCTACGAAGAAAGCAGCGCGGAAATATGGGAAAGTTATCGGATCTTGCTTATCGAATTGTTTGTAGGAAGGGATCTTGGGCTAGATATTCAATTTGCATAAAATAAGTTGAAATAGTAAGCGGCTGTAATCATTTTCCAATGTCCCTTGCAGAACCTATCGACTCTGAATCCAGTGAAACTACGAGTCTTAACCCAAGCGTTTATGATATCTGGTGCTAGATCGGCCAAATTTATAGGCCTGATCTGCAAAGCCCTATAAATACACTCTGGAAAGTTACCAGAAGCCTTATGGCTAGGTTAAGTGGAGTCGCGGCAGTACTTACCGCCCGGTAAGAGAGCAACCAATTGCCACTAATGCAGGTAGAAGAGTCCGTGCCAATCGTTGTACAGGTCTCATTGCAGCTCCCATTCTCGAAAATGTAGGGGTTATGTAAGAAGTAAGGAGCACATATCTGACAGAACCGGCCACATTTATCTGTCTGAGCATCCTCTGCAGCTGTTGCGGAGGCCTTTATGACTGGTCCTAATCATCAAGTATTAGGCGAGTCGAGATCGACTATATCCAATAACAATGAAGGCTTCTGTCCAGGTTACGCTGCACTTACAGTCTCCCATCTATCGGCTAATTATTCAGCGACGCTCAATTCTCTACGGATTATAAAGGACAATGGCCATATTTTACCATGGGTAACCCTCGCCGTACTCCTACACATCCTTGAGACTTAACACCCCGTACGCAAGTACATCACGTCCAATGGGTACTGAGGAGCGCATCAAAACAAGGATTTTTGTCAAAATAAATACAGGGACTGATGAGGCATCTTTCCGCCCATCGACTACAAATTTTCAAAATCTGGCATCACTTATTTCTTTCGCATGCTTCACGGTTTCCCTTCAACTTTGCCATCCCTTATACTGTTCAGACCATGACACATACCGACAAGCCCTTTCCCCCTACCATCCATACTTCCCATTCAATAAAACAAGGGCCATCAGCGTGTGTATGGCAGCGTGATATTCGCAGATAGCCCTGGCTATGGAATTCCCCTAGTATCAACACTGAAACCCAGTCCTGAGGTACCACTATTCTTCACAAGAACTTAACTGTATGGGGTTTGCGAACGCCATAGACTCATGGATACATAGAAAAGTATCACCTGCCTGCGTATTCTGAGTCGTTTTCTTCAGCTCCTTTCCTGAATTGCTACCAAGCATGATGCGCGGATCGTGTCGAAATGCTTCTGGAGGCTTAATTAGGATTCTTGATGTTCATTCCCGGTCTGATTCTCCTGTGCCATCTCACGTAGTCAAGAATGCTACAGATTGATTGACGATTAAAGCCCTCTTTTCTAGTGTTTCGGTCTTACCTGAATTTATAGAGTCTACGGTGAGAACTGAAAATAAAATGGCGAGTTAGCTGAGAGGTGTAGCACAATTTTTCACCAAACGGGTCATGATTTGATCAATCGAGCCAGAGAATGTAGTCTATTCAGGTTCACTGTGAAGAATGAAGATGAATGCCATGGGAAAACACGTTCCACCTATATGCCAAGTGCGCGCTAATACGCGAGAGATCGACATTAGTTGTGGACCCGTAACATCAGCTCTCTCCTCTCGGCTATGAAATTTCAAGTCGATTTTTCTTTCCAGATATCTTCTTGTTTTTATTTTTGCCTCGGGATCCCGTATAGCTACCTGTATCTGGATCACCTACATTATCACTCTCCCCGTACTGTTGGAGGAAGTCTCGGAAAGCGTCTGTTAGATCGAGATTTTCTCGCGGCTCCCAGGATGTTTCTTTATAGTCTTTGTATTTTACACATAGTAGCCTTTTATCATTAAATTTCTCAGCTCTTAAGATGTTGTCAACGGCGTAAAGAGGATGTTTTCCGTCAAGCAGTGGCGGGGGTTGGCTGTCGTCTGTAATTTGAGAAGGTAGAGGATCATCAGGATCCCGACGGAGGGGGTCCACAAAGATTCTCGGGTGAATGCCGCTAGGGACATCAAGTTCGTAGACATCTGGAGCCACAACTCTTGTAATTTTGTATTTGGCATTTGTCCAAGATAACTTCTTTTTAAGTTGTGGAGTTGTAACGTTTTTTAGGTTCAGCCAGACTTTGTCCCCGACTTTTAAAATCCCAGCTGGTTTTCTTCCTTAATTGGCATTGTGTTCCATAATTTGCTATGCAGTTGCCATGGCTGCCTTAGCAAGTTCTTGACCATCGTAGAATCGCTTCACGAAAGCATTAGCTCTAGATTTTGGGTCTTTGGTGGAGCCGGATTGAGGGGCTCGACGTTGGATAGGGTCGAAGTGTTATCCATGGGTCAAAAAGAAAGGACTAAAGCCGGTTTTGGAGCTGTCCCTATTGTTAATCGCCACCATAGCAGAAGGAAGGATTCTAGCCCAGTCATTTTGGGCATATGAGATATAGGCACGTAGGTAAGTTAGAACTTCCTGCTTCATTCTTTCAGTCCCACCATCGGTTTGGGGGTGAAAAGCTGTTGAGGCGTTGTTGGTTACCCACAAGCTGGCAAAGCCGCTGCCAAAAACGGCCGACCCAATTAGAGCCTCTATCTGAGGTTAACGAATTTGGAAATCCATGGTATCTCCAATGGTTTATTACAAAACGCTCAGCGCATTTTTCAGCCTCCATGGTTTCCATTGCCTCTAGTGTGGCGCTTCCTAACAGGCGATCGTGTATGACCATAAAAAATTTTCATTTTTGTCTGTTAAAGGGAGTTCTGTCATGGAATCTAGTGCTAGTTCACTATGAAAACGGTCTGGTATAGGCAGAGGTCGTAATAGTCCTTCAGACGACTGGCGCCAAACTTTAGATCTCCTGCAGAGATGACAGTTTCGTAAAAATCTCCTTACATCCTTGTACTGTTGAGGCCAAAAGAAGCTCCGTGCTAAAATAGACAATGTCACTTCGCGCCCCGGGTGACCAGTCACATGGGAATCATGCACCCCTTGAATTAATGCTGTACGAAGGGGTTCCCAGTCTGGGACCCAGAGAGCTCCACGGTAAGTTAAGGTAAATTTATCATCGAAGGTACAATCTGGCATTTGTATAGAATTTCCTACTGAAGAGGGTAGGGAGCGATCTCCTATAAGAAGATAAGAATATTCATTATAGTCCCTTCTGAGTCTAAGACTATTAAGGACTGGGGTCTCCTATAGCAACGCTGGAATAAATTATTTAAAGGATGGATCCTTTTTCGTTGCTTGGTCCCATAATTTTTGAAAATGTATTTCGTCGAAGATATCTTTTCCCTTAGGAGGTCCTTCAACGACTGTAACTTTTGACAATGGCGGTATTGTAATAACGAGGTTATGAGAAGTCTAAGAATTATCACAATGGGTGTAACAGTCAACTTGGGTGAATGTAGGATAGCACAATAAGTCTAACGTGAAGAAGACAGATATATATTGAAGATCTGCTATATTGATGACTATTGAATATAAGAGTGGAAAAGGTTGATCATACACAGAGGTCTAGCAGCGAGTATTTATACACAAAGACAATACATACAATATACCATCAATAGCAATAACTGCCAACCATTCAGCCATTCAACAACTATGTCATTAGATATACCTGCGTCATATTATCATATAATCATGTATGGTTGAGATACTGGTGTTGTCATTGCTGTGTGCCGATGACGTATCATTGACGCAGGGTCGCTTGTCCTGTTGGTTCACTTGCCCAATACTAGCCATTCCAAGTTGTGTGATCTATAAGTGGGTCTGATCACAACAGGCGGCGCCTGGCCGATAGGTTTCAGATCTTGGTTTGGCGATTGAATTATACTGGCTTTTGCCCGTCTTCTAGTTTCCATTACCGAAAGATTTAAGTGGATAGGTGGCTCTTCTTTGGCTAACGGTGAGACCCATCTATGTTTAAGGATTTGGAACTCTCTCCTTTTCAATCTTTCATCGTTGAAATCTTTTGGCTTAAATTCTGTCTTTCTTGACAGCAGGTCTGGTTTGGTTATTCTATTCCTGATCAAAATTTAATTTCGAAATTGTAGTTGGAAATTTCTTCTGCCCAGCGAATTTGACGCTCCGACAACTGCCTAGTTGACATGAAATAACGAAGGTTACGATTGTAAGAAAGGACAAGGAAAGGAGTACTGACACTGCGTAGCTCACCTCGAAAGTGTTTAATCGTTGATAGAATAGCTAGCAGTTCTTTGTCGTGAATTTCGTAGTTGGATTCAGCTGCGGTGAGCTTCCTTGAAAAAAAACCTACTGGCCGGAGGCGGCGTTTTTCACCCATCTGTGAGACTACGCCCCCTATGGCATACCCGGATGAGTCTGCTTCCAAAATTGTCTCCGCCTCTGGATCAAACATTTTGAGGATAGGTGCGGTAATTAACAGTCCTTTCAACTTATCGAAAGATTTTCTTTGGGGCTTTTCCCATACCCAAGCTGCACCGTTTTTGGTGAGGTTGTTTAAAGGTTCACAAATGGCAGAGAAATTATGGATGAATTCACGGTAGAAATTCGCGAATCCTAGAAAAGAACGAACAGCTGACATAGTTGCTGGCTCTTCCCACTTGGTTATAGCAGATACTTTTTCCGGATCTACCTTAATGCCATTACCGATTTCAATGATAAAACCCAAGTATTTTATTTCTTTCACGCCAAAAGCATATTTGTCAATGTCCATGCGTAGACCCGCAATTTTTAAAGCGTCAACAACTTTACGGACTTTACTATAATGGTCTTGCAGGTCTCCGTCAGTATAG